TGACGACGTTTGTGTTCCTTGTTGGTGAAGGCCGTGTAGGAGCCAAGAACAGTGGTAGGAGCTGTAAAGATGCGACAAAAAACTTTTGCTGCTTGGCCCACTCTACTACTTAGTACCCTTATGACAGGAATATCTGGTGGCGTCCGTTTGTGGACAAAACAGAGGAAAGGAAAGGGCGTCTCTTCGAGAGGAGGAGAGTTGCGAAGGACAAAGGCGAGAGGGCGGCAACGTAACAGGACGGACGCCAAAGCGCGCGCTAATGCTGGGGCCAGTCGGAACTTCCAGGTGTGCGGAGAGCATATGTCTTGGTTTCTGTAACAAAATAAAGCGGAAACAAGCACTTAACTTCGTTCACCCTTAAAGAAGTACGGAAACGAAACGACGTGAGCCCGCGAGCTCTCACCCTCTCGCTTCAAAGTCGGTCAGCGAGAAGCGCACTGAGTATCGCGCTCGTGACGTCAATGGTTCCTGCTGTGCCAAGGGTACTGTAGTTGCGAGCGTTGCCGCTTGATGGCTTTAACGAGCGACAATCTCGCTTAGCAGAGCTGGCCAAGTTACTATTTTTTGTGATCAAAGTCAATTACTAATCACTTTGCTTCAGACGGCTGAAATGTAATTAAATTACATTAAAAATCACTGCAACACAAAAGTAATAAATCGCAATTACACACTAGAGCAAAAAGTAATTTCATTACTTTCAAATTACTGTTTCATACAAACTTTTCTTGAAACGTTAATTACTGTGAAGGTGAGCAGCCTAGAACTCCCTGTTACATCATAGGAGCAACTGAGCTTCGAAACTTTTGTCGGAGAGAGATGTATACGTCATTTCAAGGACTATGATGCTCTGGCCATGCTGAAAAATCTCTCATCGGACACAGACGACGGTATTCTAGAGCTGAAACGGAAGCGAAACAAAAATAAAGAACGTGCTCTGCATTTGCGAAGTAACAACCGTCAACCCTACACCCAACCAGCGGGCAAAACCAAAGAGAACATACTCTTCCAAACCGAACAGATTGACCTTGAGTCTTTCTGTGTTGTTTGTGGGTTCACGTTTTTCCCGAATACCTACTGCGCATCCGGTCGATCCTGGATGCGTCTGAGCTCGGATTGCCTTGCTATTCAGTATTCCTATAGAGTGTGCGTGGTGTAACCGACCGGATGCAGCCGCTTCGAGTTTCACATGTTTCGTGTCAGCCAGCGGGCGGATGCGCCGAAGTCAGAATCCAAGGCCTAATTAGATCGACTAACGATGACGTGATGTTTGAGGAAGATCGCGGCCTGTTGTCAGGTGCCTAGGTGGATATATTGAAGGAAGGCGAATAAAGGAGGGATTGCTCTTTGGCTGCTCTCTGAGATCTGAGCATGACCCTGCCTAGCGCCGCTAGCTCGCGCCGGGGGCCCAACGCGACGTTGCCTTCTTTGTGTGCATTTCGGGGCAAAATAATGTTCAGGGGGGGGGGGGGGGGGGGGGGGGGGCAAAAGCCGTGTTTTGGGAAGCCTACTCCGGGCCACAGCAACACAAACACAGCAAGATTTAGGTGGCGCGACCCCGTAGTCCGGCCATAACACGAACCGGCCTCCACAAACGAACGCCACATTTGTCGTTTCTTTTTTGTTATTTCTAAAAAAATCTTTATTTTTGTGCAAGAGCAAGAACTGCTCTTTTTTTGTCATGTCTGGGCGAATAATAAAAGTGCATGGAAAGACAAAAAGTAATTATGGATTTAATTGCAATTACCATCACTCGGGTAATTCATTATTTGACTAAATTTCCTGCATCAAAAAGTAATGAGGTACATTACAAATTACTCCCAGAAGTAATTTATTACATTAATTTAATTACAGTAATTCTATTGCTTCCACCTCTGTTGCATAATAGTAATATCTGAGGACAGTACCCCCCAGCTTGTCTGTACCGGCGATCGCAACCATGTCGGTATTTTATATGCCACGAGGAGTATTGTATACGTTAGCGAAAAAAAGTAACCAAATACGTTACTCGTTACTTGCAAATTATAGTAACGCTTTACCGACCTACGTTATTTCAAAATAAAATGTAAGCGTTCCCGTTACCGCTACCGATAAAAGGTTACGCGCGTTATTTTTGCCTTACCTTTTTAATTATGAATTGACACGTATTACAGTTTTGATGTTACAGGTAGGCCTAAACGCCATATTTAAGAAACATTATATCCATGCCCAAACTGAACATAATGAATTTAACCTTTTAACAATTTTACCTAAATATTCGTCGGAAAAGAAAACGACGAAAAACTAAAAAAAGTTCGACAGTTCACATGGCTCGGGGCAAAGACGCAGAAAAGAAATTCAAGCGTAACATTTTCTAAGTGTCGGGAAGGAAAAGTAACTGGTAACGTAACTCTGTTACCCATTACTCGAAGGAAGTAACTTAAGAACGTCACTCGTTACTGTTTTGAAAAAGTAATCAAATCAAATCAAATCAAATCAAATTTATTTAACACCACATCG